AATTCTACCATATGATCTCCTTGGTTCACCAAGGCCAAATTTTTCAACTACCAGTGATTCTTCTTTGTTTCCAACTTTTGCATTCCAATCACCAATAATGATCAGTACATATTGATTGTATGTTTGGTCAATTTCAGACTGCAGAAGTTGGTAAAAATCTTCAACTTCCTCACCTTTGGCTTTGGTTGTTAGTGTGTAAATTTGAATAATAGTAGTATTAACTGGCCTTCCTTTCAGGTGTATGGGTATTATCCTATCACTGACAGCATTGTACTTCAGGATAGATCTTGATACATTCTCTGTGATGATGAATGCCACTCCATTCCTCTTCAATTTGTCATTTCAGCATAGTAGATCATATGGTTGACTGATTCAAAATGGCCAAAAGTGGCCCATTGCAGTGCACTAAGGCCTAGGATATCAATCTTAATGTGTTCCATTTCATTTTTGAGACTTCCAATTTTCCTGGATTAATACTTCATGCATTCCATGTTCCAGATTATTAATGGATATTTGCAGCTGTTTCTCCTCTGTTTGAGTCAAGCCATGTCAGCAAACGGAGGTCTTGAAAGCTTTGCTTTTATCATTAAGATTGGTTCTACTCTGATGAGGCAGCTCTTTCCTAGTCATACTGTGATACAATGATAGTAGGGAATCAAATTTTCATTTTTGACAAAAGTGTGAGATCCTTACAGATATATAAGAAAAAATTCATGATAGCAATGCTATGCGTGGGAAATATACACACACACACACACACACACACTTAACAAGTGACTATCATTTATATCACATGCAAGTAAAATTTTGCTGAAGGTAATTTCAAAAATGCTTGCAGCAGCAGTAAATCAACAGAGAAATAAGAAATTCCTGCAGAATTCAGAAGAGGATGTGTAGTGAGGGACATCACTGTGGATATAAATTGAATCTTGGTTGAAAGCAAAGAATACCTGTGATAGTTGGAGCTGTGTGTCAACTTGGCTGGACCACAATTCTGTGTGGAGTAAGCAATTGTGATGTGGGTTATTCCCATGGAGGGATCGGATGCATATATTTTGAGAAGCCAGTCCATTGAAAGGGAGTTTCCCTAGGGGTGTGGCCTGCTTCCAATATATTTATGGACATCCTGGGAGAAGAGACACTGTTCTATGGATCGGGATCTGTTGTGTTGCCTACAACTGTCTGTGAGTGAAAAATCCACCACTCGACCTGGAGTCTTAGATTTGTCATTCGTTAGAGTCAATAGCCGGTATACTGCCTGCCAACCTTGAGCTCATCAGCCTCTGCAGCTGTGAGAGTCAGGAAAAGCCTCCAGCTTGACCTTTGATCCAGGAACTTGGGACTTGCCAGCTTCTATAAGTGTGTGAACCATTTTCCTAAGATAAATTTCTCTTTCTCTATATGTATATATAAGCTTTACTGGTTTTGCTTCTCTAGAGAGCCCAGTCTAACACAATATCAGAAAGGTATTTTATTTACTGTATTTTATTTACTATGCCAAGGCATTCAACTGTGTGCATCATAACAAGTTATGATAACAAACTGAAGAGGGAATTCCAGAACACATAATTGTCATCTTGTAGAACCTATACATAGACTGTCATGGATTCAATTGTGTGCTCCCAAAATTTGTGTGAACTTGGCTTAGAAATTATGTAATGATGTAATGTGGCATATATGTAATGATACACCATGGTGTGATCCAATGTGATGATAAACCAATCAGGTATAAACAGATTTAGATAAAGGTGTGTTGCAACATCTTTTGTCCCATCATAGCCCTAATCTGATGTAAGGGGATCTTCCTGGTGTGTGACCTGAAACACTTTTTATCTTATAGGAAATAAAAGGAAAGAGAAGAGAGGAGAGAAGGGAGATCTACCACCACCAAGAAAATGAAGCCAGGAGTAGAGTGTGTCCTTTGAATCCAGGGTGCCTGCACTGGGATCCTCCTAGGGAGAAGAGACTCACAGAGAGAAAGTCTTCCCCTAGAGCCAGCACTCTGAACTTTGGACTTCTAGCCTCCTAAACCATAAGAGAATAAATTTCTGTTTATGAACGCCATCCACTTGTGTTATTTCTGTTATAGCAGCACTAGAAGACTAAGACATAGACCAAGATGCAGTTTTTGGAACAGAACAACAGGATACTGCATGGTTTAAAATCAGGAAAGGTGTGTGTCACTGTTTTTTCCTTTCCTTTTATTTATTCAGTCTATACACTGAGCGAACAATCTGAGAATGTAGACTATAAGAAGAACACAGCAGGACTGGAGGAAGATATTAATAATTGTGATATATAGATAACACAACTTTTCTTGCTGAAAGCAAAAAGGATTTGAAGCACTAATTGATATAGATCAGAAGCTATCTCTTTCGGAATTGTTACACTTCAATTTAAAGAAAACAAATATTCTCAAACTGTACCAATAAGCAGATAAACAGAGAACAGTTTGAAATTGTCAAGGATTTAATTTTACTGGGATTCACTGTCAACGCCCATGGAAGCAGAAGTCAAGAAATAAAATGACATATTGCATTGGGCACATCCGGTGCAAAGGATCTCTTTAAGTATCAAAAAGCAAAGATGTCATTTGAAAGCTAAGGTGTGCCTGACCTAAGCCATGGTATTTTCAATCATGTAATATGCATACAAAAGGTGGACAATGAATAAGGAAGACTGAAGAATTTTGAACTATGAACTTTGAACTATGGAGTTGATGAATAATATTGAATATACCATGTACTGCCAGAAGAACCAAAAAATTCAGCCAGAATGCTCCTTAGATGTAAGTATGAAGTGACTTATCTTCATATCCTTTGGAAATGTTCTTATGTGGTTTGATGGGATCAGGCCTTGGAGAACGATGTCATGCTTTGGGAAGTAGAGGGTCAGCTAAAAAGAGGAAGACCCTCAATTAGATGGGTTGACACAGTGGCTGCAAGGATGGGCTCAACCATAGCAATGATTTTGAGGATGGTGCAGGAACAGGCAAGGTTTCATTTGACAACACCTAACAACAAAAATATACATACACATACACACATTCACACACATAGATAGAGATAGTTGATGTGTGTGTGTTTGTGTGTGTTGTTGTTATGTGCCATCAAGTCAAACCCGACTCATAGCGACCCCTCCTTGGGTTTCTGAGGCAGTGTCACTACGAAAGTAGGATTGCCCAACCTTCCTTCCGAGGAGTGGCTGGTGGTTTTGAACCGCCAGCCGTCTGGTTAGCAGGCAAGTGTCTTAGCCACTATGCTACCAGA